GTGAAAGATTGCAATCGGAAGAATTAGCTAGCGATAGGGACAGATAACGAGGGCCAGACCACCCACCGTACAAATGTCAATGCACCATGTCAGCCGCGAGGTAGACGAGCGCTTCAAGTCCATACCTCATTGGGGAACCAATTTCATTTTCTATCCATCACTCGAGTCAGCTGTAAGATATTAACGCATCGTGTCGACCTCGAGGCAGACGAGCGCTTCAAGTTCCATATATACGACATCCACCCATGGTTTCCCGCTAGATCCTCCGAGGGGGCGTGACAACGGAATAGAGAAGCGTCTTCCGCAATACAGAAGCGGAGCTAGAACGAAGGTGGTCACCTTGCAATGGTGGACTTGTTGGGTCGGGGGTCAGTATTACCGCCGACTGGGCCGACTCAGAAATGGAAACGGCCCGGCTCCCGACGAGCAGATGATGTTCTACAAGGTCACGATCCTCATTTCGGAACTTGCCAGCTGATAAAAATGGGGGTACGTAGCGTCTGGGCGCTTGGGTGAAAGATTGCAATCGGAAGAATTACCTAGCGATAGGGACAGCTAACGAGGGTCAGACCATCCACCGTATAAATATTGACGTGTACGCCTAATCCATTCAAATCCTTTCTCTCCTCCAGCGATATCTCCCGTCTCCATCGATCCTGTCCAATTTGCTCGTACCAAAAATGCCTCCGATTCTTCCGTCTGGAATATATACTATCAGCATCGAGAATGGTACATATTACATCGGGCCTCTTACAGACACTTCAGACGAGATCTGCATCCTTCCTGGGAATATCGGTCCTCGACCAATCGTACGACTGGTTTGTTGCACCCATCCAGGTCGTCTCCGTGCTGACGGTTGCTGTATGTGCAGTTTACGCTCGTCAACGTCGACGGGGCTAACTTATACAACATCTCGATCGACGTGCGATCGGCCGGCGTGAACGGGGCCGACGAGGTTGTTCTTGGGCCTCCCAACGCCGTTCCCAGTAGGCAGTGGCAGATCGTCCCAGACACTGGGGGATACAGGTCAATCTTCTTAGATTGGAGAGACAAACCGATCCTGACAGTGTACAGGATCTTGGACGTTTCTGGAGAATCTTCCTGGTGGGCGCCACAGATTTCGGTCAGTACACTCAACACGTCCAAGGTGAGAATGCTAATTGAAGTTTGCACGTGCAAGGTGGGCCAAATCATCGTTCTCTCCCCCAAGCCACTGAGCGGGGCATGCTGTAGTGGAGTCCCTTCATGTTGTAAAATTTTTCAGATCACTCCCCCTACTGAGTAGTTAGGTTAGGTGTGCCAGTTCCGAGCACCAGCCTGTAGAGTCGTTTGAATAGGACCGGGCTCTGCGTGTCGCGTGTATGTACTATCCTATGGCCATTTCATGGTTCAAAAAAAGAACAGCTTGATACGTTTGTCCTCCGTACCTTTCCCGTCATCCCGACAACTGGACAGTGGTATTGTCATTCGATGTTGGTGTGCCAGGTCGAGTTAAGGTGGAGTACACCGTCAAACTAACTATGTAGTACAAGCCACCAGCCGCCATACATGACGAAACATTCTCGCCACGTATTACGCATTTCGGATCGCGTTCACTGTGTTGAAAACATCATTCTGTGGAGTCCAACGTACTTGAAGCTTGAAGCTTGAAGCTGGAGTGTTTTATTCTGTATGTACATAGGAGGTTTTGTACACGACATATTGATATCGTCGCCAAGATAGAATAAAAAGGTCACGAGTGGTTCAAGGTGGTGGGGAAATAACAATACACATCCTCGTTGACGAACTTCTGGCTTCCTCATTCTCCTTGGGTGCGTCCGCATTTTTACATCTTGATGTCGAGGTTGATGTGCACGGCCTTGACAGCGGTGTAGCTATTGCGGTGTCTCAGTGCACCAACACATACGAGAGGTATAGAAAAAGACGAACTTGTGCAACGCATACTCGCCCAGCTCCCGCCCCATACCACTCTGCTTGAAACCACCGAATGGTACATGCGAATTCAACTGGTTCATACAATTGACCCACACCGTACCCGCCTGGAGTCGGTGGGCCGTCTTGATCGCCCGGTTCAAGTTTTGCGTGAACACGGCTGCAGCCAGACCATAAAGAGTGTCGTTGGCCTGTCGGATTACGTCCTCCCCGTCCTTGAATTTGATGACCACACCAACGGGACCAAAGATTTCCTCCCGGACAATCTTCATATCCGGGGAGGTGTTGGTGAAGATGGTGGGGTGGATGAAGTAGCCTTCGGTGCCTTTGCGTTCACCGCCGACCTCAATCTTAGCACCATCATCCTTGCCAGATTGGATGTATCCCATGATACGCTGTATAATTCAAATGCATGAGATATGGGAATTGATATGCCAGGTGTGTGTCGAGACCACTGACGTTGAATTGGATCTCAGAGACTTGGGGACCCTGGAAGTTCTCGGGGTTGAAGGGGTCCCCGACCTTGATCGACCGAGCCTTCTCGATGAAGCGCTTGAGGAACTCATCATAGATGCCCTCCTGGACAAAGATACGCGACCCAGCACAGCACGTCTGACCGTGGTTCCAGCTGCGGATGACGTCAGTGGAGCTCGACCTGTACAAGTAGGAAAGATTAACAAGATGCCAAACGCGGCCCAGTTCACGGCCTGCTCCAAATCTGCATCGTCAAAAATGATGTTGGGACTCTTTCCGCCCAATTCCAAGGTCACATTCTTCAAGTTGCTCTTGGCGGATGCTTCCAAGATCTTGCGACCGACGAGTGTCGAACCAGTGAAGGCGACCTTCTCGATCTTCATGTGATGAGTTATCGCATTGCCGACGGTGTTACCATAGCCGACGAGAATGTTGACGACACCGGGAGGGAAACCAGCCTCGTTGATGAGGTGGGCCATGCGGAGTGCAGTCAGAGGGGTGAACTCAGATGGCTTGAGAACAATGGTGTTTCCCGTTGCCAGGGCGGGACCAATTTTCCAGGCCAACATAAGGACTGCGTGGAGTAAACGTTACCTCATTACATGAAGAAAACAATCAGTACTCACGAGGGAAGTTCCAGGGAATGATTTGACCGACGACACCGATAGGCTCGTGGCGAGAGTAGGTGAGTTTGGCTTCGGTTGTCTACGAGAGCATGGTGAGGACATGGCTTGAGGGGAAGTGTCCATCGGAAGCGTACCTCTTGTACCTGGCCGCTAATCTTGTCTGCCCAACCAGCATAATAGCGTATACAGTCAATGGAAGCAGCTACGTCGGCGTTCCTAGCCCAGCTGAATGTTTTGCCTATTACAAAGAACCCTCTGGTTTAATACACAGATAAATGTACACTCGCGAAGGGTGACCGCACCGTTGTCAAGTGCTTCTAGAGCGGCAAGCTCATCGGCGTGATCCTCCAGTAACCTGGAAAGTTTTCCTAGGAGGATGCTGCGTTGGGTACCTGGGACATTAAATCCCCAGACAGTATCAAAGGCCTTTTGGGCGGCATCGACGGCAATGTCGACGTCCTTGGGGGTGGCTTCGGAAACGGTAACAATAACCTCTCCATTCGCTAATGATCGGAAGATCAGCGCTGTGGACAGTTTGACAGCGTCGGCTATGACGACTCACTTGGGTTGATAACGCTAGTAGTGATCGGCGGAAATTGCCGGATGTTTAGCAAGTAAGATGCTGTGCTGTCAACACTTACTCGATGGTCGTGCGATCAGAGCCGTCGATGAATTGACCATTGATAAAGACACCAGTGTCGAAGGAGACCTTGCCCTTGTAGGCGAGGGTGTCAAACTCGTGGGTGAAGACAGCAGGCATAGTGAATGTCGATGGGAAGGAGAACGGGGGTAAGAGAGGGAGTATATATAGTAGGATCGGAGCATGCCGTGGACAGTGTTCGCCATTGGTTCGATTGGTCAGGCGATGACTGAGTCAGGTTACTCAGCCTATTACCCTTCCTGAAGAGTAACATAATCTCATATCTTTCATAGGCGGCGACGTCCAGCGATATTTGATCCCATATAACTCCAATCCCAGAGGTCACCGTCATATAAAGGTTTTGGGCTTCTCTTCAGCACTGCTAATGAGTACGCGAACAACGTACATTCGGTTCGAGCATATTCACTATACATCCTTCATTTCTCGCAGGTTACGGTGACATGTGTCGTCTATTGGCAAGTAAGTCCAACCCCAGTATTAGAACCTATTGCAATCAACTGTGGAGGAGTATTGGCTTATCCCATCGACTGCCACCCTACAAAGCACGAACCCCCACGCAGGTTTGCCTACGTTCTCCGGTGTTTTATAGGCCACCACTCTGGGTGCAACCTTCAGTTCGATACCTCCAGCGGCAGTTATGGTGGCGAAGCTTTATAATATTTCGGGGATACATCAAATGCTGAAACGTCACTACTCCACACATGACCAATCTGGGTCTTCATGCCTCATTAGTGTCGCTCCATAACGCCGAGTTGAGCTCCCACTTTTTGCCTTGCTGTAAATAACGCATCGAGTGAGTAACCTGTTCAGCTCAGCTGGGAGTAGGCCGAATCATGATGCACACAGCGACACGACGCGGGAGTCAGCAGATTAGGCAGGTTTGGTGTGTTCATCACATCCGCTCGTGTTGACCAAAGACTTCCCCTGCTTCTCTCGCCCATTGTTGAGGTAACTCTGCTTTGGCTGACCTCCACAACGGGAGGTGCTGCAGTGTTCAAGTTGTGTGGCGTAGCGGGTACGGTTGTTGATACGATCCCCCTCCACCTTGATTACTTTAGAGCGGGGGATGATCAAACAGTTGCGGAAGCATTTTTAACCCCGATCAGTGACAGGCGGATATTAATCAGAATGAGATCCGAGCTCCAGCCGCGGAGAAACCAGAAGCCAAACAGGGAACTATAGGAAGCAGTACTGGGGCGTACAAAGTATCCATTTTACGCATGTGCTGGGTATCTTCGAAGGCACCAAAAACAGAACAGAATACGAAAGCCTGCAGCGGACGTACCAAGGACAAAAATTTAAAGGTAGGGCCTTGTTGGGAATCGAACCCAGGCCACTTGCAGTCGCAACATCGCCCAAAGCAAGTATCGTACCTCTAGACTACAAGGCCAACTATTCGACACTACTGCGATGGCTATTGGAAAGAAGATGGCTATTTAACCTGATATGTCTTCTAGGACCCGGGTCTTGGGAACGAGCTAGGTCGGTGGACCGAGAAAGTCAGGTGTGTCATTACTATAATGTCCAACAGGCTGGACCTGCTGAGGCTGGACCGCCGATGTACTTGCCGACTAAGTAGATGTCGACGGATTTGACTGTCGACTTGGGGTGACGTTATTGGCTGTTGAGTCACATCCATACTTCGGATCATTCGCTCCCGGGTACTATTCGGAGACGTCACGGTCTCCCTGAGGATGTCCAGTGCCACTTCAAGTTGGGCTGCCAGTGGTCCTTCAAGCCTACTATCAGCAACTTGTAAGCGCCCAATAAGTGCTCAATGAGCTCGGTTGGACCGGCTTGGCTCATTTTGGAGTCGCTTATGTTTTGACGCTTTCGATCAACTTTCGATCCGGCGTGTCTGCCACGAACTGAGTCGCTACCGCACTACGACCACTTTCCTCTCCGGCATTTTCACCCAAAATCACACGTGTGTTGTGGTTGGTCCCTATTTTGCCCATCTTATGGTTTATCACGCTCACCTTAATCATTGGGCTACAAGCGGCCGTCATGAGGGGCCCCTCTGAGAATTGATGAAAACACGCTCTTTCTTCTCCGACTCGATTGGGCAGAGACACACCGGTACGCCAAGGAACGTTTGAAGTTTCCAAGTATGCCTATGCCAGCACAATCAATTAGTACGCCGGATCCCCCGTCACGGTACAAGGGGAACGTACGATTTCGAAATTGGTCGCCGCATCTGCAAGGCGAAGCCTTCGTTGTGGTCCAAAGATAACATCCCGTTTCCTGACGAGAAGACACGTTTCCGTACACTTCCCACGCCGACCTATAGCCCGAGAGTCTCCGTGGCACCCCACTCACAGCATCGTCATATTACTTAAGGCGAGTGCCCATATCCGCTGTCCGCTTCATGCAGAACCGAACGGTACTGCTAGGCATATTTTGCCTCTTGAACAGTCCCCCTGACCCGGAGACCCCGCCATGTTGGTCAGATTGCTCGTCACCGGTGGATCCTCCTTAGTTACGTCTGGATCACACTTGCCCTCGCGACGATCGGGTTCGCACGTGGGAAATGCTCGGCTTACGGAGGTATGGAGGTGATATGGCTTGACGCACCTGGTGGGTCGATTGCGTTGATCCTCGACGACTTGAAACACTCAGGCTGGAGAAGCGCGATGGCATCGACTTCAAGTTGGGTGATCTCTGGTAGACATCATCATTGGAGTTGCATGAAACTGTTCATGCAAGCTTTACTAGTTCGTGCTCGTCCAATGCTTTCATCCTGCACACCCTCCATTTCCACACGACAGCTCCACTACTGCTCCGTCCTTTGGGGCCGGTAAAAATATGATGTCGTCAGCACCTGGCATGTCCATACTCCCTGCAGCTATGTTGGCACGTATCCATATCCTTACCCGTGCTCTCATGCGCCGGGATTGATGCCATGCCCATTCTTGTCCTCGCCGGATCCAGCAGTGATGTCATTTATGACATCAACTTCCGACTCGCATATCTTTGTCTCCAAGTTGGACTGACTATTATTCACACTCTCCTTATTGCCGACTGTCCGAATGCAAATGCGAAGCATTATCGGGAGGGAACACGTTCGTCCCTACGGGACTGCCGCCCCATGGTCGTCGTCCGCCCTCTACTCCAATGTCGTGCTTGCGTCGATTCACCACGTTCGGGCGAGCCGGCAGTTTTCACAGCCCCGTTCAAACGAGGTGTGTTGTTCAGTGATGTGACGTGGAGCATCGTGAAACCGTCGATCATCATCGGCGTTGCGAGAGGCGGGGCATTCCAACATACGGGATCCAGCCATTGAAACCAGGGAGTTGCATCCAGGAAACGTTTTTGAGGGCGCTTGGGTAAATGGGCGGAGTGTATGCGAAAAGTACTGCGTCCGTCGGAGGCCCCTCAGGGTTAGGGTGCGCGTATGGACAGGAATGCTTTGGGGCAGGACGGGTCGGTCTCAAGCCTGCGAAAGCTCCCTGACAGTATGGACAGCACACGAAAGTTCAATCACATAGTCGTTGATTTTCTCTGATTTTTCTCCCTTTCAGTGTGGGCTTCAGGGATGTGAACATTATGCCGAAAAGCGGCACTATTTGGACTTGCAGCACGGCCGTGCGGAAATCAACGTCGTCGGGTAGAACTCGACATTGAGTAGATAAGAACGAGCTCTGAGTCCACATCGCAGCACAGGCGGACTCTGGACACTTTGACATGAACATGCCCACGTAATAGTATTAGCAGCCTCTATAGTGTGTGATGGCCTGACTCGATGGGATGCTACCAACCACACCGACAGTCAGTCCCTGGCTTCAATTAATAAATTTCTGCTCGTAATTCCTTGCGTTCTGCCTGTCAAGACATCAGTATCAGAACGCATGCAAGATGGATCAAATGAGAACACTGCCATACCAATCACGCAAAAGCCCCAGAAGAAGGGGTAGCCCCTCGAGGTTGGATCCCAAGGCTATCTTTCTTACAACTGCCACCTCCCCCTGTTCCGAAGCACCACTCTGGAAGACGCCACTGTTCACCACTCGTGATACGCCCTCTCATGACAGACAACCTAGGAAAGAACTTGGTGAACCTTGGGCACACAGGAAATAAAGGCAGCTGCCACAACAGCTCTTGGGAAAGTCACTTGCAAATTGTCCTGTTCCGCCATGTTGGGCACTACATGTTGTGCTATGGGAGTGTTGGATGCGAGTACGACGGATAGCAGTCTCAGTTATCCCGTAGATTTAGCATCCAATCGAGCCGGCGATGGCTTGTGGCCCGTGGGGTTATGCGGGCGCCGTCCGATCCATCCACGCGATCGTGGTGGAAAGCAGCGATCAATCGCGCGAACCGCGCACCAGGTTGTCACGGTTGACTGCGCCATTCATGGGACGGGTCCCAAAACGCTCCCACGTTGCGTGCGAGCAAGTTCAAAACGGTCGGGGCTTGCTTTTTCCAACAGGTTCAGCAGGAACGTGGGAAGCAGCCGCGCTGCGTCTACATCTCGGGAGACGAAAGCGAACGCTTGTACCCCCACAATCTATTTCAAAAAGTCGTCCTTTCTTTTTCTGTGACCTAGATCAGCCATTGACATTGAACCGGAAAGAAGCGAGTAAGACAACGAAACTAGACTTGAATCTCCAGCCATCGTGACCATTGGCACCGCCAGACATGCAGTCGTTCTCGTTTGGAGTCGCACGAGGCTTACTTCAAGATCGGGTGCAAAGAGGAGCCATTCCGTCGTTCCTGTTTGGGATCCGAACCAGTCACTAAAGGCATCTTGCTTGCCGGGGGCAAAAGAGAGACTCGGCCTCCGGTGGCGTTGTGTTAATATCCAGCATAAGAGATGGGATTCATCGCCAGCGGGTATGAGCGCGTACATGCACACGAAACCAAAACCTATTCAAACAGTAGTAACATTATGGACCGACTGCATCAGTGCAAGAACCGACGACAGAGTAAAGCAAGGGGCAAACCTCCTTCAAGTCCACACCCCGCGTCACAGATCACTAACGCTGTGCGGGACTGTGGATTTCCCGGTCTTCAGCTTAGATTCTGAAACCGCTCGTGCCCACCTCGACTCCGTCTCGGCTCAACACACCAACCAGGCTTTAAACTCCCCATCCCTCTCGATCGCCTCCTTCCACCCCCCCTCGCCCCTCTCCAACACCCGCACGCTCTCCACCTCGTCCCGTCCCAACTTCAACGCGTTGTACAAGTGCGGAAACAGGCCTTCGCCCGGACGCGGTCCGCACACGTGTCCTTCTGGGCTTTCCCACTGGATCTGTCCCGCCGCTTCGAGAGGTTCGTATGGCAGGCGAAGCACGTAGACTTGGGGGTCGGACTTGAAGAAGCAGGCGAGCGTCCCGGGGATTTGGATTGCTGTCGAGAGGTGGATGAACCCCGAGGATTGGTCGATCTCGGAGACGGGGAGGGCAGTGGGGAGGGCAGCACGGTCTAACGGGACAGGGTTGGTGTAGGGGACGAGTTTGTAAATGTAGGTTGGTTTGTCAGGAGATGTTTCGGCGTTGCAACAGGGACACATTTTCAAGTCGGTGAATGGTGGGTAGACGCTCAGTTTCACTGACAGGCGCTTGGTCCTGGTTATCGGCAACTTACGCGTATTGTTCAGCTTCAGGGAATACAATGGGATGAAGGGTATCTCTACGTGCCGAAAAGAAAAGTACATAGTTACATACACTTACAACGGATCCAAAAATCGTATGGGATTATCCCCAAGAATGCCAATACACATTTAAAAGCCTGGCACAGGCAAAGTGATAGAGTAAGAAATGGACCTGCACAGTTGAAAGAGAAAAATGGGCGAACAGGCCACCATAACTGTGAGGAAAAACGAAAGAAGAGAGAGGGAGAAAGACGAGGCCGATCCAGAATAGCAGTCTCATGCACCCATCTGCACACGATCCATCCTCAACGGACATCATCCGTCAGCACCGCCTTGACACCCCCACTCTCCGTACGTCCGCCGTCCCGCGCACGCGCATTGTTCATCCGTTTCTCGTAATTCCCTGCATCGTACGAGCGTTCGTGGAAACTCTCCTCGAGGGATCGGGGGAACGGGAAGTGTGCCTCGGGCTTCATAGGAGGGGATGGCGTGTTGACCATGGGCACGCTCGCCTTTTTAGATTTCCTACCCTTCTTGCCCTTCCTGCTGCCTGTGCTCCCGGTCGACCCTGTCGACTTGGCTTTGGCTATCGGTGGGGCGTACGGACGTTCAATCGACTGTGCGAGTGGTGTGGGCATCGACGGATCCACCCACTCTTCATCGTCCTCTTCTTCCTCACGCCCACTGATCTCTTCAAAGTCGTCGTTCCTCGCAAGATCTTTGAGAGTACCATCCTCTTGTCTATCGACCTCAAACATCGAGTTCGGTCCAGGGGTGATGGGCCCTATAGGATCCTC